TTTTGGGGATATAGACCACATACTATATGTTATTCTCTATTGAAAAATAATAATGATAAAAAAATACATTTTCCCTCTATTGTGGCATAAAGTATTTCTGAACATTAATTTTCCAACATGATTGTATCTACATTTTGTCAGTGTAAATACTTTACTTATTTAAATTTGTAACTTTCAGCTTTATAGCAAACCAGTATTTTTCTCACTTAATAAATCCCAACATGGAAACTCTAAGCTAAAGCCGTAGTTGGTCAAAAATTACTCTATATTTCTAGTAACCTGAACTTAATTATCTGAACAAAAATCAGAATCCTAACATTCCAACTAGTTTGATCCATCATCTATCTCCATCATAGTGCCTGTTGATTTCAAATCTTTTATTATTTCATGCATTTTAGTTATTCTACATTTTCCTCCAATTTTGTTGCATCCTCACACCAATAACTCAAAAGATATCCCCTTTTACAGCAGCATGGCATAATCTCAAAGGGATGCAATATAAAGAAATATATCTTATTCAGTAATTAATAAAATTAAAGGACAATTAGCCAAATCCCTATATCTATAACAACCATGCCAGGAAGATATATCAGAAAAAGCTTTACCTGTATGGGTGGCCAAAAGTTTGAAGATATTATAGTAACATCAAGAATGTTGAGGGGCAGATTTGTTTTGCCTTGATCAGCACCTAGTAATGCAAAATGGATAACAATTTCTTACAGTATTTGTAGTAAATAAAATTTCCGATCAGCAGAAGAAAGACTTTCAAGCTTAAAAAAACAAGTTTTTCATTACCCTCTAGAGATGGTTGTGGTATGCTTGCTTTGATACTAGCATTTGTTCTCTTGGAGTGAATGAGATCATTAGTCATAATTTCACATCTTTGCATACTGCTCTCTCCAAAATGTATCTGATAATCACATGAACATGAAAGGATCACACTCAACACAGCAGTACAGGCAAACTTCAATAGTAAAGGGACGAGGAAGAAGCTGCCGTTTACAACTGAAATGAATCTTGATAAATGACATCAGCAATCTCAGTGAGATAGTAATCTTGCCCACCTTAAGAAGCTCTAAGGTTCTTATTTCTGAGTCAATATCATAATCAGACTTATTGAGAAGCTTTTCTGCCAGCATAACCCTGTATTCATTAACAAGTTGATCTTTCGATCCAATTATGCTGACCATCATTGCCAGTATATCAATCTTCCTTCTGCTTCTGCCACATTTTGATGGGTCTACCTCCACTGGATCAGGTTCCCAACTGAAATGTAAGACATGGTTGTGACAGGTTGCTTATATTCAATAATCAGTCACCAAAATTATATGTATAGGAAAGATTCTTTAATAGTTTAAATATGAATGATGGTTAAAATGATATATTAACGAAAAATAATCAAGTCCTGAGTACCGCACGCATAGTGTCAATTAGATGAATAAATTGAGGATATTTTCTGACACTTATAAATCTTAAAATGGAGATTCATATATCAATAGCTGAAAGATCATTAAAACTGTAGCCTATCAATTTTTCACTTGAAGAGACTAAAATAAAATAGGTGGCTATTCAGTCTTGAGGGCCCACAAGTCATATTTGATAAACTTATATGCAGTTGTAGTAAGGTTTGGCAAAACTTTTAACTATCTTGAGCTCCAGCTAATTTTATACATTTCAAATAGCTCTAAGAGGATAAATCCTCCACATCCACATACCTTCAAATATAAAAAGAAAACAAGACGAGCAACTACCTTTAATATCAATGGTGTGAATAAACAGAATTTGGTTCTTTCACAAAGGGACATTGAAAACCAATGTTTTAAAAAGCTCCCGCCTAGGCTCCGCCCGCCGACCACCCACGTGGACTGCACAAGGTCTTGATCGTGATTTCCTCTATTGCTGCATCCATGTCGTCTAACCTCCTTCAAACTCCTCTGTGGTCCTCTACCGACTACAAACACCTCCTCTAACTACTCCGACCTTCAACAAAACCTCCTCCGCCATCACTTAAACAAAAAAGAATTCCTCCTAGGCCATGAGGCTATATGCTAGTTTGGAACCACCTAGCAGTGCCTCACGCTTTCGATAACATTGATTAATATTAAAACATTAAAAAAAGGAAAATGTCTAGTCCCCGCCTAGGCTCCAGCCTAAGCGCCTAAGCTCTCTAAACACCAGGTCCGACGCATAGGTTGCATAGCACTTTCTTCAACCTTGTTAAAATCTACTTTTTTATTACTTTGAAAAAGAATCAAAATAATAATTCTGCGACTCATTTACAAGGGAGAACAGGAAAATTAATTCTTCTAGAAGTTACTTTTAAAAAAATGTGCACTTTCCAGCTTTAAAAAAACATATAACTCGGTTTGTCAACTTCAAACAAACAATTGGCAGACATCAGTGATACATATTATTTTCTAAGAGGAGATTCTAACCATGTGAACGATGCAAATATATCAAGTTATGTAAAAGTACACACTAAGAAGAAAATTCAGAATAATATACAAAGTTTTTAAAGAAAAATAGTATCAACCAGAAATTATACCGTTCAGCACTTAACCATGCTTGCTTCTCGTCAGAATTGATATCTTCATCACAGTCAGCATTTTCTTGGTTTTCTGCATCTCTAGTTAATTCTTCAAGAAGACTCTCACCACTATTTCCCGCTCCGCTGGAATTTCCTCCAGTCCCGTCAGTTAGCATTGTCACAATGCATTTTATTGTATCCTTTCTTCCTCTCAAATAATCCCTAATATGTTCACCTACTGCTTCTAAAAATACACCAGCTGGGTCTATTGTTCGTAGAGCCTTGATAGTGGAAACATACTGGTGCAATATATCATTGGTTGAGGCCCCAGCTGTAAGCAAGCGATATCGTAATGAAGAGACAAAAGATTCAACAAGCTTTGAATGCTGCCCTGTATGCTCTAAACATTTCTTTAAATCTTCAATTGCAGGAGAGCTGAATAATTTTACAGCAAGAACTTACAAGATATAAGTGGATTGGACGCAGAGAAGTGGATGGAACAAAATAAAATTGAAAACAAACAGATTATAATCAATAGCAGACAATCCCATGCTTTATATGGAAAGCACCCAAGACACAAGACATCCAAGAAGACAATCGTAATAGGCCTTCTTTATCATATTCAATGTTTAAGTTAAAACATGATAAATTCAAGATTGAAATTTACACCTAAAGCAACTAACAGGAGAGACGTCAGGGGAATTTAAAAATAAAAAGCTGCATGAAGCTCAATAAACAAATGACAATCAAACTGGATAATACACAGTCAAACCAAAATGGCATAGCACTGATATCTCATATTTAACTCAAACACCTAAGCCATCGCGAAATGGCACCATTTGAAACCGGCAAAGCAAAGGCTATTTAGGGGGGGGGGGGGGGATGAAGCAAAAGACATTACCTGTCAGGATAATCCACAATAATTTCAAAAAGCTTTCCTATTCTTAAGTCCTGCAATGTTTCATAAGCAAAATACTCAAGCCGCAACTGCCATCTAACAAGCCCTTCAGAAGGAGTGTCGATTCCCGGATAAGAAAAAGGACATGAAGCCAAAGGCGATTTAAGACCAGATGCAGAGGAATCATAGTCAATTGACTCCCCCAAATATACCAAAAGTGCGTTTAGAAACTGGAGAGGAACAGCCTAAAGAAAGGTTGAAAGGAATATAATAAGTAACCATTTGTAAACAGGTCTCACTTAATAAAATACCTACTTAAAGACTTATTGGACTGATAAACAAGTAATAACAGGGCAATTAAACAATAGTCAAATCATGCCAGATAAAAACTCTGTAAGACACAGATGATCCCAAAGAAGGTTCAAGACTTCACCTATAACTGATCATGCATTGTTATGTTTCCTAGTATTCAGTGATGATTGACCTTCAGATAACTAAACAATTACAACTATGAAAATATGGAACTTTAAACCATAAGAAAATGAAAATGAGCATTTGAATGCTTGAATGTTAATAATTTCATAAAGAAGTGCTGCTTTTGATTCAAAACTATGAATTTTTAAGTATTGCTACAGTAATTTGCTCATAATCTCATTCACTCAAAGTGAGTTCCCGTCTAGGGTTTCCAAGTACTAGCTGATAATGTTTACCTTGAGTTGCTCATCTAGTACAGTCACAGATTGTTCTCCAGACCATAATCTCATGACAGTTTTAGGTGTTTGTCAATCGCCATCAAGATAGTATATTTGTGAAGAACATCTACTTATGGGGCAGAAACGGTAAACAATCAAGCATGGTATTTATCTCAAGAGAAACCAAACATGAAAATTTACAGAGAAATTGACAGCTTATGATGGTAAGTATTAGGCTCATGCTTCAACTTATTTATACTGGACTCAGACTAAGAAGGTACCTGTATCCAGTCCTTGATAGATTGCAGAACAGGACTCCTATATTCATCGCCTGCTAAACTATGAACTTTGTTCTGTCGTAGAGCAAAACATATGTCAGAACAAACAACACCTAGATTTAACTAACATCTCAATTCTACTAAGAAACATAAGTTCAAGTACACCAATATGCATGGATATAACGCATCATAGATTCATACATATATACACACTGACCTTCAAAAGCAAAAAAATAGCAGAAGCATATGCATCTTCAGTCAGGGAGGTAAACCCAAGGCTCCTAAGTTCACGAACCACTTTCCCTATACTTTTAACCAAACTGTTGTCATTTGAGATGGCTATCGCAGAATAAGTTCCAATAGTATCCATATCACCCAGATGTGACCTCTTGGTTTGCTGGTTAAAATAATGGTCATCAATCTGGGATTCACATCCATCCTCATATTCCCCAGCTATTATAGTACTTAGCTCTTCCAGTTTCTTTCTAAAATACAAGCGAAGTACCTCTAAAGAAGAAGAGAGATAAAGATGGTAAGTATTGGAGCAATACCATGAAAGGAGCATACACAAGCAACAAAATTAGTTACAAATCAAAATAATTGGGTTCTCTACAACTCACTGTTCTTAAAATATTTCTTAAAATCCAATGTTAAGCTAAGCATCGGATGTAGGCTTCTGGATGCACGTGATCCCTGAATCAGAATTTATTTAAGTGTCACCTTTTGGCTATTGCAAAGTATACAATAGGTTTGTGTAATTATATTACTCGAAACATGTGCAATTGTGTACAAATACACCCTCCCTTTACTATATAAATTTAACTATATACATATACATAGACACAAACACTCACGCTTACACATATATGTAGTATCACGTCACCATGTCCCTTTGTCCTACTACTTTTAAGGAATTGCCATCATGTGTCCATGTCTCATCTGTGCCGCATGCATTTCAAATTGTCAGTGTCTTAAAGGAAAAAATGTATAAGTAGTTGGCCATTACCTAACAGATCAGGCGTCTAGATTAAATTATACTCAGTGAAATAAGGTTGCTAATCTTGGAATTAATAGCATGAGAAAAATTGACAATGGACACTAAAGACATGGGGAAAAGTTAGACCCATCTAGCGTTAATTATATTGCCACAACTAGACAAGAGAACAAAGAACACATTAATTCATACATTTTAGCAGCCATGCTGTCCTAGGAATTACAAGGATCTTCTATCAGAGTATTGGGTTCTTTCCATCAACATTAAGATATCACTGACGTGCAGCAAGGATATGGAATATGAGGAAACACCCTCTGCAATGGGCTCCTCAGTACTCTTCATGTTTTCCATGTTAGGATAGTCTTCATGAATCAATTTTTTGCAGTGGCTGGTCAATAACAGTTCTCTTTTTCATTAGGAAAGGAAATGAAGGCCCATTATCATCGAACTCCACCTAGATAAATGCCCTTGCCAAAGAACTTAGATTGTAAAAGTAAGAAGAGAATCTGTGTGACTCGCAAGGTAATATAAAATGAAAGGATCTCAGCAATTATACATAATATGACAACCTTGTCCTCTCATCGTTTAGGAAAAATGAAACTAAACAAAACCTCAACATCCAAAGTATGGCAGACTTATTTCTAGAACAAGGTAACAAACAGTCCTCAGGCACCACCTATCTACCCTTTGAAGGATAGAAACAGAAAGAAATAATCAAACAAAGCTGATCAAGAAAAGGTTCCTATTTAATAAACATGGACATAATGATAGTAAAATAAGCACGACTTTAGTAAAGTGCCATTGAGATTGCTGTCAAAGCCAAGATATCATACATTCAATAATTTGTAGGCACCCGCTTGTTCAGATTAAATGTAATGCCTGTCAACCATCCTGGAGGCAAATAGCTCCTGCTATGGTGTAGTTTTGTCTACCCAGCTTCTAAGCACTCATGTTTGAGGTCCTAGTTGAAAATTACGAAGGGGCAGTGTGTGGATTCTAAGATCATAAACAAAGGAAAAATGAGAATTATATTTATACTATAACCTAATAGCATTGGCCCAAATGGTGGCTGTGATAGCATCCATGGCTGTGGAGCCACCATCACAATATGTAACCTTCAGACCTCACTTTAATCACCATCCAAGAGTGGCTCAACCTCATCCTCGCCTCCGACAATCCAACTTGTTCTGCTCCTCGCCAACCTCTGTCTCATCTCTCATCTCATTTTCTGACAATTTCCTCCTTTTCAAGAACGAGGGGACATTCAGAAGGAAAAGGAAGCGTCGACCGAGGGGGAGGAGGCAGTAATGGCACATACGAGCCCGAGGTGGGCTGTGTAGGTAGAAAAGCTGAAATGAGGAAACACTGGCTTGCTCAGCTCATCGATAGAGCTTCTCACTCAACTGTGTTGTGTAGGAGTAGGGGCATTATCAGTAGTTTCAGAAACTGTAGGCATTTTACACATAAAACTAGTTATTAGGTTTAAGAATACAGGGTACAAGAGAATTATTGAAAGTATTTGGACAAATAAAGAGCAGCCAAACTAGGGTATAAACAAAAAAGGTTCCTTTGAATAATAAACATTGACACCTGCTCTAAGATCAAAATGAAATAAAACCTCTAGCAAAAGAGTGTTGTATCAACAAGAAATTTGATTAATCGGGCAAGGTGATTAGATCTTTGAAATGTAAATATTTTAGACATGTAAGGTCGTAGATAATTTGGTGGCTGATAAATTTATTGGCACCAGGGATAGAGTTTAAGCTGTGATAAGTTTTACATGTAAAAAATCTAACTTCAATCCAACATATTTTCCCAAAGGAGAATGCTCTTCTTAATATTTAGACAAAAATAATGGTGTCTCGACACTAAGAAACTAAATACCGGATCATTTTTTAATTTCTTTATTCTACCTTCACTTCCTAGGTCCCAAACAGATAGTATGCAAACATCTAATCATGCTTCTATCACATTTAACAAATTCTACACAAATATCTAACCATGCTTCTAGCATGTCCTTCTTTATTTTTCCCTACTTTTTTTTCCTTTCCTTTTCTTCACCCTTCCTTTTTTTTCCTTACATTTCTTTCCTCCTCTTTTCCGTTCCGATTCTTTTTCTTTTATTTTCTTTTTTCTCTTTTCTTTTTCTTTCCTCTTCGTTTCCTTTCCCTTTTTTCCTTTTTTTCTTGCTTTTCTTTAACTTTCCTTTTTTACTTTCCTTTTCTTTCTTTTTTCTTTCCTTTAAATGTTTTTTACTTATGCTCTTGAAATCCTAGAGCCAAGGTTTCGAGAAGATGTGTAGCACCGGAGTTGAGGAGTTGCAAAGGCGTCATGTAAGAAGGAAAATTGGGGTGGCCGAGGCATAGTCAAGGACATGTACATTGAGGACTCCTCAATTATGGTGATCAATGACGGAATTCTCAATCGACAGAAGTATTAAAAAAGCAGCAAAAAACCCCGCTTAATTGGCCATTTGAGTAATTCTCAATCAACAGAAGTATTAAGAAGTATTAAAAAAGTAGCAAAAAGCCCCGCTTAATTGGCCACTTGAGAGTTCTGGACCCATAGACACTTTCACTTGAAAAAGCTCGCCCAAAAGCAGACGCAAAAAGAAAAGCGGCCCAAATACGGCCACTAAACCTAAAAGCGGCCCTTCAGCAGCCGCCAAAAGCTTTTCCTTTGATAATTCATATTAAGTCATTAACTTGTAAACTATTAGATATACATAGTCCACTACATGTTAGTTTATCAAATTACAATGTACACAGTGTTTTGCTAACATTGTGTGATTGAATCTAAGTATTGCTTCATGCTTATGATCTCTATAAGGATCGCATATGCATTTCTAGATTCGTTTACCTCTACTTTTTCTTGTTTTATAATTTTAATGATATTTTTACTGATTTTTTCTTTTCAAAATTAAAAAAATTAAATAAAAATTGACTTAGAGTTTTTTTCTACTTAAGCTCCAAAAAGCCTAAGTGACACCTTACTGCTTCGGTCTGCTTTCCGCTTTCCACAAACTTGACGACGAGGAGGTGACTAAACCACAAAGGTTAGGTGAACAAGTTTTTGATGATAATGGGTGACGAGAGATATTGATAGGGATGGGGACCACAACAAAAGGCAACCTTGTTTAATGCTTTCTTTTAATCTAAAAATGATAAACAAAATCGTTCAAGATGTCGAAACTGCCAAGGGGAAGCACAAAGATGACAAGCAAAAACACCATCAATGGCCTTGAGGTTGACGAAGAAGAAAGAGAATTCTAGGATCAAGAATTTAGCTTTGATACCACATTAATTGAGGAAAATAATGAGAAGCGAGAATTGATTTACCTCTCCTCTCTACTTAGTTTGTAACAGAAGACTAATCCAACTCTTAATTACGTAGGGAACTAAATATCTTTCTAAATAAACTAAGCCTCTCAAAATAATCTGCATGTGCTTATCTAAATGCACATCAAAAGCAAAAGATAAAAAGAAACGTTCGTGCTAAATAAAGAAGAATCTAGATCCCATAGTAAAGAGACAAAATTACAATAATCTACAAGAATGCAAATCGTCATAAGGGCAAATCTAAGTGAACAAAATGCAAAAACATTGTTAGAAAATGAATACAGCATTTATAGTAAAAGAAAAGGAAATATGATACAACCACTAGTAGCTTGGCATATAATGAGATATTAGAGGCACAAAATAAATAAAAAGAGAAATGGTGCAAGAGATAAAGATTGATTTTTCTTAGCAGATGGCCTCACTCCATGAAGCCAAGCAATGGCCACACACCATTGAGAACAAATCAAGCAACTCTCCATCAGAGAGACAAAAGTGCTTCTTTTCTCAGATAAATTTAACGAACCAACAATACTTACAAAGTCATGCAGCTTTTTAGAAGGTAACACGATCTAAAGCCCATGAACTATGCTTCTAAAAATTAGGAGATAAAGGGCTTGTTTCGCAACTCATCCACCAATTAGATAACGGTTCTACCTTGGACAAGGGCTAAAAAATTATGTTTGGCAAAAGCTTGTACAAAATTGGACTAGCTTTTCTTAGTTCAAAAGTGAGGCCCTTATCTAGGTTATCTTTGGACAACCTCCACCTTGGTTCAATCCTAACCAGATTAAGGCCTTAACCGGATTAGTGTGAAGCTGCCAAACACACCCAAAGGAATTGCCTTTATCTTAGGCTTACCAAAATATGAAAAATAAAACTAAATAACAACATACCTTATTTAAAATGTTTGAAAAATAAAACTAAAACATAACATATCTTCTATAGGAGTTATATAAAATTTACATTCCTAACCAACTATATAATTTTATCTCCAATAAAAACTTTGATGCCTTCAACCTTAAATTTGAAACTATGCACTATACAATCATGAAATTTTGCGTCAAATAAAGAAAAGTTCCAACTCCCCTCCTCCAGGCACACCCATGCATGTAGGTGCACTCTAGCTCATATATCAATAGCTTCAGTTCCAACCATCATTGCGTGATTCCCCGGACCCTCCCGGAATCGTCGTACAGTTCCTGCAAACCGATTCCCGGTACATTTGTAACTCGATCCCTCTAATACAAGAACCTTCTCCAAACCTGACCTACCACTTATAAGTATGCCAAATGCAAAATCTCTTTTAAGTGCACGTGTGCAAGACGTAATGCAATGTGTGCAATTAAGTGATGGGAGACACATAATAGAGTATATGAGCCGATGACTTTATTATAACTAAACACGTATGTTAATTAAATGTAAAATGAAACCATGATCCTAAAACGAGCTCTGTGAAAAAAACAAAACAAAGAAACAAACTCTATCAAAAAGAAGTACTTAAGTATTTTGCATGAAAAAAATATTAAAATTCATAATTAGCTTTCTAGTTTTCTACTATATACTTTGAAAAACTTTAAGCGCACCGAAAAAAATTTACAACGTACCACTAACGAAACTTGCGTACCGAAACAAGCTACCCCCTAACGAATCCAAATTTTCCAAGTGGCGAATTGTGTACCCAAATTTGTACCGTGACCCGCTATGTACCGCGTATTATGTAACTATGGTTCTAACAGTTTCCAGCGCATACAATCCTCAGCCAATGTCTCATAGTTTACTACAGTTAACATCTCGACTGCATGTGACTTTTTTTCATGTAAACCTTTCCTTTCTGGACTTCAATATCACCAATCTAGGATCTGTTTCTAGATATGGCCAAGATAGATTGTGTCTATATTTCTTTTTATTCGCTTTTTTGTATAGGATATGACCACCAAATCTGTATTCTACAGTATAATAAATCAAAACCAATAGGAAAAAGATAGCAAAAAAAGAAGTAGCTAGGTGCATAATCCATTGACAATTTAGCTGCCAAATACATGTAAGCCTCTATACTCAACTAGCTATGTGAATACTAACATACTACAGTACCCGAAAACACTTCAACAATGAATTATATAATCAAATCCAAACAGTTTGCTACCTATGGAAGAGCTAAATTAAAATGTGAAAAGGGAGCAGCATCTCACATGAAAAATGCAGAAGTTCATAACCGCAATCTGAGTAAACATGTTGCACAAACATTGTGAAGCAACAAATACAACAATCATTTATTGAAAAAGAAGACTGACTATGATCAAAGCAATGAAATAGATCAAACCTCACACCTGGAAAATGCAGAGGAAGGGTTGTTAGAAGTACTGAAGAAACCATCAACTGGAACCTAGAAATAAGGTGGGAATGAAGATGCTGGAACTCAATATTTCCCTTGGTTATGCCTTCATCGTAAGACTGCAAAGCATGAACAAGAACCAAAACACACTTTTCCATGTAACTTCTTTCTGTGCATATTTCATCCAGTGATTTATTCAATACTTCCTCATGCCAATCTTCATGGTCCGTCCACATTTCTTCTACAGATTTATTCAATACTTCCTCACGCCAATCTTCATGGACCTACATTAATTTTGATATTTCAAGACGTTGAGAAGCTGAATACACAAGCAAATGTGTGGCTCGTGTGTCTAGCAAGAGGCTAAAGGAACCAAAGCTTTCTTGGATTATTAAATTTCTCAAAAACAGTTGGTTTTAAGAACATCAAAAGCTTTAATAGCCACAAAAGACATTGGATATGTTGGTTCGTTTGTCATATGTTTAATTTATCAATAAGTGTCATACTTCTGTCAATGGTTAAGGGTTAAACCATATAGATAAGAGAACAAGCTGAGGTGTGTGCATTATACTGATGATTTCCAGTTATAAGAAGATCATTGGACAAAGCACTCTTGACATGGTCATGTATAAGACTAAATGGTGATGTCAATCATTTCGATGGTTGTCACTATCAAGATTTACAATAACTTGTCACATTTATGGTCCTCCTTCCACAAAGATTTCATCTGTAGAGCTTAATCATTTTAAGCTCTCTTTAGTTTAAACCCTTTTTATTCTTAAAGATCAATTACTCTTGTATACACAAGAGTGGAAATAACACATTTTGATTCATTTTGGTATTTTGGAAATATGTGACAGAGTCTCGTGGTTATTTCTGAAAAACCTAGATCAATACTTCTGGCTAGGACAATTTTCAGAAGAACAATGATAGAAAATAAAGTAAAAAAAATTAATCCGTTTGTATCAGGTTAACCAACAAAAAATAGATCATATGTGCAAAGAAGGCAACTCATGAATAAAATGTAGAAAATTTGCCTAATACTTTCAATATCGATTTGCATAAGGCTCTTTGCCAAGCAAAGAATCATAGCCGCAACGAAACTAAAGATATCAAAATTAAAGAACCTGCTTTGCTACCTAGCTCACTCTATTTCTTGAAAATAATCAAGAAACACAAGAAAACCTACTAAGGAACCAGAATTATATATCCTTCCAGCAGGGAAGATGTAACTTGTAGGATTAATTCAATCTGTCAAATGAGTTTCTCTTTAGGTAAACTCCCATTTTCAGTGTGCTAACTGACATACTTCTCATACCTCATAAGCTGACTCATTGCAGCTCTCTGACATTACATTTTTGATGATACACAAACATTACCAATTAAAAAAATATGCTTATAAAGCAAGTTACACAATGCACACAAAAATTTTCTTTCTTTTGGAATTCACAAAATACAGCAAACCTGAGCTGAGTTCACACCAAATCTAATGTTGTATAACCATCAAACATGTGCATAACAAGTTACGCATGAAATTTTTAAATAAATTAAAGGACCCAAACATAAGCATGTCCTTTAAATTCTAACTAAATCTATACAAATCCATTGGGAAACAGCAAAAGTAAGAAAGAATATAGAACCTGCCCTACTCATTAATTACCAAGCCTACTATGTGCCAAAACCTGGATTCATGGTTAATCACTGCTAAGATTATACATAGCAATTTTTTGCTCAAAATAGATATCATATCGTACTTAAACTTTACTCACATTCAGTCTTGGACCATCACGATAAGCATGAAATTGCTGCCAAAACTTTGAAACCACATTTGTCTTAAATGTCTCCTGCAACACAAGATAAGAACATATTACTCTACGAACAAAGAGCATCTTTCAGCATAGATAAGCAAACATGTTAACTGAAATAATATTATCCAAAAGGCATACGCATCCAAATAAAACCCACTTCATCCAATCAAGGTGAAGGATCCTCCTCCTTATAAGTGTTAAATCCACTTCATCTACATTGCTATTTGTTAGTCAATGACTAGCCACCTTAAGCTTTTTGGTAATTTGAATATCTGATATAACATGTTCCAGGAGAGCACTTGAATATAACCCTCCCCTTTAATCCCTTCAAAGCCATTGCTGGCAGCGTATCAGTCCATAATATTAGGATGGTACTAAATGCTACCTCCCCCAGTTACTTTTAAAGGGCTTTAGATGATTTCACACTGTTTTAAGGAAACTAATTAACTTTGCTTTCCAACTGTGTCAATATCTTAAAGTTTCCATTGTACTCTATTGATTTCTCAGCCTCATCTGTTATTGATAGGAAACTTAAAATTTTCACTGATTACCAAGGTGGGCAGGGGAAAACCCCCATGAATTAGCATTGGGCTTGCTCAACAAAATTGATTATTTTTTAACCAAAAAAAAACTTGAAAAGACTAATTCAAAAGTGACAAAAGAGAGCATCAATGTAAAGGTTGTTATGAACGGTCCCACAAAGATTAACACAATATTACTCAATGAATCTACAATTTATGTAG